TGTCTAGGAAACAGTCTGCCCCACCCTGCAGGCAACTGTGTCTGCCACCAGAGCTTTTGGCTTTATAGATAAAGTGTCTGGAGAGAGCCTGGCAGTAGGTGCCCAGGGAGTAGGCATCAGGGGTCCCCAGCACCATGACTGGGTCTCCAGGCATTCCCCTCCAAGTGCAGCCTGCCCTCCCACAGGCCCCACTCAGCTCCATGGAGCTCTTAGACGACTTCCTCTTCCCTCCTAAGAATATGGCTGACAACCAGGGATCAAAAGTTTCAAAAATGAACAAAGAGAAAAATCTGAATAAAAAACAAACAAAGGCAACTATGAGAATACAGCTTCCAAAAGCTCTTACGTCCTTAGAAAGTCAAGACAGTGAATCCACGAGGCCAGGAACAGTGGCTATGGGAAAGAGGAACAGTTATAGGCAAAGAAAGCTTTTGTTCACCCACATGAATGTCCAGATGAGAAGATGAAGCAGAGTCCCCTAGAGCAGGCTCAGGAGGGCCAAGGGTTTATTTGCTTTGTTTACTGCTGTATCTTGGGAACCTAGACTAGCGCTTGGCAAATCCCAGGCGATGGAAGAGACAGGGAGGGAAGATGAACGGGAAAGAAAATAAAGATGCAAAATACAGGACACGATGAGGCACATTTGACCCTAGGAGCTCCAAAATCTGATAACTAGAGTTCTGAAAACAGAACTCCAAATCAATGGATTCCCTCTTAACTTTGAGTCCACATTGATCTGGCAAAGGAGGAAATACTAGTATTTGTGACAATGAAATCAGAACAAAACAGAAGACTGAGCTCCAATGTTAGCCTCCCCACAACTCAATGTTAAAAATACACTTTCTAGAGCCAAAGACATAGGAGCCATCTCTGAGCAGGATGGATCACCAAGGCCCACGCTAAGCTCCACCACCATGTCCTTTCAGACACTATGGACAAGGAGGGTCTCAGTGACTGTGGACAGACAGGGTGTTTTGGTCTCAATGAGTGCCCTCCGCACACTAGGCTCATATGCTAAAGGCTTAGTTGCCAGCCTGTGGCGCTACTGGGAGGTGATGGATCCTTTAAGGGGTGGAGACTCATGGGAGGAAGTTAGGTCAATGGGGGTGGGACTTAGAAGGAGATATTGACTGGCCTCTTCCTTTCTCTCGGCCTTCCAGCTACCATGAGGTAGCTTCCTGTACCCACACTTCTGCATGGCATGCTGCTTTGCCATAGGCCCCAAAGCACAAGAGCCAACCAACCACAGAATGACACATGCAAAAGACCCAGAACAAACCCTTCCTCCTCCTAAGTTAGTTCAGCTGTTTTGTCATGGGGGTGGAAAGCTGAGACACAGGGGAAAGGCAGAGCACCTACACAAGGAGACAACAGTTGGGATGGCACCAGACTGACTGGCAGCAACGGATGTTTGAAGACGCTGGAGCTAAGCGTTTCAAGTTTGGAGGGTAAATGAGTTTGAATCCAGAATTCTATTCTAAGCCAAACTAGCAATCAAATAAAGGCCCAAAGTAATCACACTCTCAGAGGTGCTAGGGGACTGTGAAAGTTTACCTCCAGCACATTCTTTCTGAGAATGTATTCCAGCAAAATGAGGGTGAAAACCAATAAAAGAAATGGGAGGGCCAGGAAAGTGTGGAATTAACCCAAGTGTTCAATAAAAGCAACTCTCAGTACCTAGAAAACAATCAGTAAACAAATTACATCAATTGGTCAATCAACAAGCTCTAAGAAAAATGAGCATGGAAGCAGATTCCAAGTAATGGAAAGGAACCAAAAGAAACTGGCATTAGGCATGAAAGAGTATGTAGTCACTCAAAAAGAAAATCACTCAAACTTCAGGCAAGGTGGAGGGTCGGGGCAGGGGGATAATGCATATGAAACAGTCCAGAGATGAAGCAAGCCAAATTATGGCATGATTCCAGCAATCGATGAAAGAGTCCCCTTCACTGGACACTAGGAACACTGTCCTTAGAGTGGTGGCCCTGAACTGTAAAGGAAATGCAACTGCCACATAGGCTTGCCTCGGCAATGGCCCTATTTATCTGAGTCAGAATAATCAAATCACTGTGGACTGGTATTCAACTTGTAGAATGAAGCACGAAAGTCTGGATTTTGGATGGAATACACGTGTCAGTCACCTTGATAATGGAAAAGCAAAGGTGTAAGAGAAGGAGGAGCTGCCGAGAAAGTCAAGGGCGAAGTTAGGAGCGTTAACTGCTCAACTTCCATAGCTGGGAGGGAAACATACGCTGAGAGCTGATTGATAATTCAACAGAGATTCAGAGCTGGGTGCAGTGGCACATGCCTATAATCCCAGAGGCTCAGGAGGCTGAGAAAGGAGGATCACAGCCTCAGCAAAAGTGAGGCCCTAAGCAACTCAGTGAGACCCTGTCTCTAAATAAAATACAAAATAGGGCTGGGGATGTGGCTCAGTGGTCAAGTGTCCCTGGGTTCAATCCCTGGTACCCCCCTAAAAAAGGATAATAAACAGAAGTTTAAATATATAGTTTAAAAAGATATGGCAGCCACTGAGAAAGGAATTAAAACAGTGATATTACCGTTGACAGCGGGATGGAGTAGGTTACAGAAAAGCAGGAAGCTGAATCCTCATCTCCTGAGTCCAGTCCTCACTGGAAATGTCAGAGATTGAAAATCAATGAATAGTGGCACAAGGATATTATTCAGAAATGCAGGAGTGCACAGTGAATGATCTGGGGGCAGAAACGGTTAGAATGTTGAAGCACAAGTTGATTAAATTTTTAAAAATATCAAAATGAAGTTTATTCTAATATTAATATATAATATTTTGCAATATCAATTTTTATGCACTGTGAAGCTTCTATGAACCCAGAATCCTACTCCAAGCCAAACTAGGAAGTGAAATAAAGACCACAAGTAATGCACTCTCAGACTTGCTAAAGGACTGTGAAAGTTTTTTACGGTGCTTTAATAAAATGCAGCTTCCAGGACAATGGAGATGAATTTTATATTTCATTTACTGCCATTTGATTTAAATCTATATGCCATTACTCACCTTATATAAAATATACATTTCCTTCTGCACTTTTATGAGGGTAAAATCAGGATGGTTTCATTAATTGGCATCGGGGTTTTTAGTGGTATATAAATTATGATGTTGTCCTGCAGTTATTAATGTCCTTAGATTTGATCAAATAGGACACTTACAGGTATTTTCCCCAAGTTACTTTATGGGATCATGAACAGTTAACTGTATTTTTCTATCATTCTACTCCTCCCTCAATACACTCCAGCCATACACTGGCCTTTTGGTTGCTCCTGAACACCTCAGGGCCTTTGGATAGCTGTCCCCAAGTCCAGAAAGCTCCTGTTCACCCCACTAACATGGCTTCTCCTTCAGGTCATGAGGTCCCACCTTAAGTGTCACTCCCTTGGGGAAACCTGTCAAACACCACATCTAAGCTCTACCTCCTAGAGACAGCTCTATCACATTACCCAGTTTTAAGAGCCTTTTTGCTAAGATTTTCAATTTGTTTCCTCACTCAAACAAGCTCCTGGAAGTTTGGCCTGTCTTGTTCATCACCACATCCCAGCCTGACCCTCGGGAGATGCTTGAGTATTTCTAGAATGAACACTTTACTGCTAAGCTAAGGGTATAGTATCTAATCATTCAGTAACTGTTTCAAATTTATATACGCCATTGCTTCTTTATTTTCCTATGGCACAGAATCTCATGTGTATAATAAATTATTTTGTTAGGAACATCCATTTCTGACCGCTATCCAATTGAATATAATTGTAGAAATATACTAGCATACCAAATATGATTTCTCTAGCATGAAATAATTCATGCCTTCTTTTAAAATTTACACTATCATTACTTCATCTATACATATTCTAAATGTACCTATTCTTGACAAATAGGTTGGCAAACAAGGATGAAAATATAAAGGTTTCAGAAATTTGAGAATATAATTACCTCTCACTTTTTAAATTTTAAGAAGAGCAGTGATTTCTCCCAAAGGAAAGGATGAAGTTAAAATCACTGTTTATAATTGTATTTCCTAATTCAAAGGACTGATTGAAATAAAGCTTGTCTGTTATTACAGATCATCTGTTAAGAACAATAATGAAAAACTTACCATCAATTCCCTTACTACTTACATTTCACATGTATGATAGGACAATAAAATCAAAAGACCAAAATCTTGAAAAAGTTTGTTTGCTTTTTTTTTTTTTAAATTCAAAAAAAGCCCACGATTCTTTGGGAGGTGATACAAGACCGATTTGCAGGGGTCAGATCATAATTTCCCGAATCTCTGTAATAATATAAATTTCAAAGGCTCCCGCTCTCTCCCCACTCCAATTCACTTTTGGCAACCAAAACATGAAATGTTCACTTCTGAAAAATGGGGGGAAACCCACAAAATACCAGGCTTTAACCACAGTCCTCCTCTCCTGGTGAGAATTCTTCTGATTGCTGAATTTAGAATACTGAAACAGTAAGAAAGATTAACAACAGCTCATCAATAAAAATCTTTTTCTAACTGCCTACCTGACTATTTCAGACAAGAATTACATTAGAAACAGCAGTCACTTCTCAGAGGTGACCAGGCAGTGGCTTCTCTTCTCTCCCCAGTTGTTCTAACTCAAGTTAGAATCACAGAGCAATTCTCTGAGAGGTAGCGAAGGCTCTGGCTTCATGATTTTAGAATACGATTTTAACTCATCACATTTTCCAGAAGAATTTTTGTGACACTGACAAGAGAGAGAGAGAAGCCTTGCTCGACCTTTGCAGGCAGAGTGAAGGTGATCAAGACGACGAGGACGTGATTATAGTGCAGAACAGGGGCCTGCAAATGGAGAAGACGTCCAAGAAATCCCATCAGAAAGGCGTGTCATCGTAAAGTACTGCTCTTGAGTCTTCACCTAGGCTACAAAAAAAGAGAAAAGTTCCCACACAACAATCGGGACAGAGCAGGAGAAAAATAGACAATGTAGACTATAAATGGCCAGAATTTAAACATGAAGAAAACAACCTGCTACTTTTATTTTTCATATGTGAGGAGGATTTGTAAACATGATGTTGACCTCTCCAGCCCAATTCAAGTTCACTTTTCTAACTATGCTTCAGATCCGCAGGATATCTCCTAGAAACTTGTCTTTAAAAACCTTAGAATTTCAGTTTCATGAGAGCCCAATGGATTTTCTGAGTACTACTGTTACAGTGATAAGGGTTGGGGGGTCTACCTCAGCACCCTCCTTCCGAAGCCTAGTAAAATAAAACATTTTATTTCAAAACAAAAGAGGGTAATGTTAAAAACCTGGGTGGGGGATAAGATGCTGTGACAATACTCTTTCTTTTTAATGAACACTTGACTGTTTCCTACCTAGAGCTCTACCCTAGCTCAGCCCTGGAGGGAGGGGCAGGACTCGGGAAGGACAGAACGCCACAGTCCTGGCGAGGCAGCCACTCCTTTGCATGGAGAAGGGATTGTTTCTTCTTCCAGCCACCAATTCATGACTATTTGTCCCCATTTAAAGAAGTACAGGTGAATAAGGTTGGGAGAGCAGGAAGCACACCGGAAGCCAGCTACAGCCTCCCGTGCGCCCCAGCCCTGTGTCTCTGGCGGCAGGGGTCTCCCCCACCATCCGGCCTTCACAGCAGGCAGCATCTTTCTTTAAAACTTTTCTTGTTCTTGCTGCTTTTCTTGCCATTCTTGTCTTTGTTTTCTGACATCTTCTTTGCTCTGATTTCTCTCATTAAGTCAAAGAACACCTGGGAGTGGGGAGAAAGGGTGAAAAGTCATTTAATGATTTTAATGAAACAACTAAGCAGGATACCTAGTTCACTGCTACAGCCTCCAGGTCCCCAAACTTCAGCTTCAAAACCACATGCATTCAGAAACAAGGGTCTAGAGGAAATAAGGACACCTGACCTCAGAAATGTATCCTGATCCCGTAAAGCAGACATCTCTGCTCCGCCACACAACTGGCCAAGCGCAGGACAGAATCGTACTGTCACTTCCATAACCTGAAAGCTACTCTCAAGGGATAAACTCTTTTCTACAGTAAGTATAATGAAGGTTAAAGCGTTCCTGCAGAGAACAGATCTGTTACATGTATGAAGTTCATAAACCTGAGGGCGACAGTAGGAATCAGACTTTCTAGCATTTCAACCACCAGAAAAGATGGCGCTGCGCTGTATACTTGTCTCTCTTCACCCCTGTGGGGACCTACGCAGGCCGGAAGAGCACCTGTGCGACAGTTTCCCAGCCGGTCCCCAGCAGTGTCTTGCCCTATTCTTCCCCAGGTACACCCCAACTCAACGCTCAGGGCCTTGTGACGTTAGCTAAGAGGAACTTCATCAAGAACTGGAGACACTAGACCCTTTAATATGTTAGTTGGCTGGGGATGATCATGTGTCACAGTAGTTTGGATTCTGTCCTCTGCAATTGTGCCAGAGGACCAAGCAGAGCCAGTGGCCAATGTATGCCTCCCACAGAGACCCCTGAGAGACCTCGCAGACTGAGTGTGACAGGGAACGTGGGCTTTATTTTTGCACAGGTGTATGACACAACAGGCTCCCGTCTTATTTTCATGGCCACGTCTTCCTCTTCACTCTCTGGAGTGTGGGACTCCACGTGCACATTTACTCAAGCCCCAGGCACAGAAAAGGGAACCTCAAACTGGATCAGGCTGACCTAAGCACCCGTTTTTGACAGCCTCTCAGGAAACACACGGCCCATAAAAGCAACAGTGAACAACTCCCAATGTCACAGGTTTTTCTTTTTATCCAAACAGCAAAAGGCAAGAGGAGGGGCGTGGAGCGCATCCAGCTAAAATGATGACAAAGCCGTTCACTGCTGATCTTATCTGAAGTGTTTTCCAGTGACTACAATGCTGCCAGTCATAAGTGTTTGCTGGTACCTGTTTGGCAGGTCAAGCTGGTCCAACCGTAGGGGGAAATGACAGCAGTGTGACAGCCACCTCCCACCCTGCTCCCTGTCCCACCAAAAAACACACATCAGCAGTTTTGTGAAGTGATCCTGATTTTTTTTTTTTAATGAAGCACAGGTGTGCACTTCCTGCATGTTCCTCACAGTCAGGAAATCATCTGAGGGAGATTTTGAGTAGCATCAGAATCAATGTAAGAATTGAGATAACAATATAAAGAAAAGCAGGCGACAACTGAATACACCTCTCATTGCAGCCGACAACTGCAGACCCTTGTTGCACATGGCACCTGGGGCTCCGAATATAGGCCCTCGGAGTTGGCATCCAAATTCCAGTGTCCCTCTGACATCACCTCAAGCTCCAGGAAAGCCTGGTTAAAATCTCCCCCTCATCAGGTGAGAAACCCTGGGGACCCCCGAAGGAGGGGTGTGGGGGGCCGGCTGCTGCTCGCTGCACAACAGACATAGCGCTCAGGTGCCACAGGAATAGGGGTCACGAAGGAGAGCAAGGGACAGGGCAAAGCAGCAGGGACAGCCTCAGCTTCATGCTTGCTTATTTTCGCTGTGCAGCAACCACCTTAACTTAAAAGGAAAAAAAGAAAAAAAAGCTAACAGTAGAAATCAGCATTCCTCCTTGCCATGGCAACTCTTCTGTGAGCCTCAGGAAGCGGAAGTGAGAGTACACTGGGGATGGGGTAAGAGAGAAAAGGGACCTAGAGCTGGATCCTGAGGGCAGATCCTACTGAGAGACCCATCTACAGGAGGAACCTCGGCTCTGTGCGCGGACAGAAGGTGAAAAGAACAGACCTAACCAGCAACTCCACAGGAGCAGAGGCAAGACTCGTCATGCTTCTTTCAAGGCTAACTAAGCGGCAGCCTGACACAGCCAGCCCTGTTCCCCAGGCCACAGGCTGTTGGGCGGGGAGCACAGGGAAGCAGAGTCTGTCCTCGCTATCTTCACAATCCACACATCATCTCACCAGACCTCCAGAGACGGCCCATGATGAGCATCCTCTAAGGAATCCTCATGGCGAGGAGAAAGGTCTCCATGGGCTGCTTTGGATACAGGGTCAGACCTGCCCAGTGCCTCTCACTATCATGGCATGGACGTCTGGAGAACCAGAGTCCTTGTCCAGCTTCCATAAATGGTTGCCTCAAAACCAAGTGAGGTATCTGTTTGGTCAAGGCCCAAGCCTGTTTCCAAGAAAACACCCAGGGCATGGGCCTACCTTGTCCACGTTGGCCCGCGTTTTGGCTGACGTCTCCACGTACTGCACGCCCCACTCCTCCGCTTTACTCCTGGCCTCCTCGATGGGCACTTGCCTCCGCTCCTCCAAGTCAGACTTGTTTCCCACGACAAGCAATGGGATTTTATCTTCTTCAGCCTTAACGCGGAGGATCTGTTCCCTGTTGTTACAACAAAAGTACAGCAGCCAAGAAAACCACAGTAAGAACCGAGTTCATCAACCATCCCAACAGAGGCCGTCCTAAGGCAGAAGAACTGCTCCATTTAGGGCATGTGCCAAGGAAGCACTCTGGGGTGGGGGGGCAGCCACCAGCCAGGGAGTGTTTCCAAGTCTGGTTCCCAGTTGGTCTGCATCAGAAGCCCCCAGGGCACTCTTTACAACAGTGCAGGTTGAGGGGCCCAATAGTCCTAGAAGTAGATGTCTGGATAGGAGGCCAGGATCGTGCATTCCTACAGGGTCCCCAGTGAATACTTGTAATCACAAAGGAAGGAAAGGGAAGGGAGGGGAAGGAAGGGGAGGGGGGAGAAAAGTCTGTGAATCTGTGGGATAAAAGCAAGCTAAAAGAAGTATCTCACAAAATCCATAATAATTCCCATGGTGGGGCAGAAAGGGTACGTGACTTGTGACTGTAAGAACTATGAGGTCTAGTGTTTTCCATATGGGAGGCAGCAACCTCTGAGAGGATCTTGAAATCAATTTAGGGAGTAACTACCAGAAATTTTTTTCTTAGTGCAATAGATTATAGGAGATAGCAGAACAGAAACATCCAAGGGAATCTTAAATAATAAGTACTGGCTTGTGAAATTTCTGTTTCAATTAGATCTGTGTGTGCACATGGCTGTCCCTCAGTACCCAAGGGGCATTCATTCCAGGACACTCTGAGGATACCCAACTCTACAGAGGCTCAAATGCCTTATATCAAATGGTACGGTATTTGCATATAACTGACGCATATCCTCCCATATGCTTTAAATTCTGTCTCGATTACTTTAAAAACCTAATACAGCATAAATATTAGGCAAAATAAACATTAGACTCTAGTGTTCAGGGAAGAGAAATAAGGAAAAAAAGCCTGCACATTTTCAGGACAGGAACAACCATCACGGGCCTAACTAACATTTTTTTTTTAACATTTATTTTTTGGGTATAGTTGGACATAATACTTTTATTTTATTTATTTATTTTTATGTGGTGCTGAGAATCGAATCCAGGGCCTCACATGTGCCAGACAAGCACTCTACCGCTGAGCCACAACCCTGGCCCCCTAACTAACATTTTTGATCCGAGAATGTGGAACCCACAGACATGGAGGACCAACTGTATGTTCACCCCACCCACAGTTTCCACTTAGACACAGCAAATGTTCCAGGCAACAGAATGGAGATAGTTACATTAGGCAGTAGTCATATTCCAATGAACATCATTTTTCCACTGTAGTGAAAAAACGAAAATAAAGTACTCTAAAGCTTAGGGAAAAGTATTTCAAAATGTCCTCTCTAAAAAAATATATATATGTAGCGCATTCAATTTTACCTATACTAAAATTAATCACCTACCTAAAAGTAGTAATCAAAACCAAGTATTTCTAAAAAATTAAATATTCTACTCCCACTATTTTGTTCCAATAGGACACTTTTTGGGTGCTGGGGATGGAACCCAAGGCCTCATGCATGCTGGGGGAAGTGCTCTACCACAGAGCCACACTCCCAGCACCAGTAGAGACACTTCTACTTCCACATTCCAAAAGGAGTCCCCTCTGAAACAATTTTGTGGAGCTCTGTACTGATATTTATATGACAGCACAACATTTCACAATACTAAAAATATTCCTGAAAACAGGCAATTTAAGTACCAGATATCAAATATTTTAAGATAAATGAAAAGAAGGAAAAGTTGATGTTGAAAATTACCTCCAAACCGCTTTGTTATAACCTACATTTGAACAGGAGTCAAGGACGTTGATGCACCGGGAGTGACGCACACCTGTAATCCCAGTGGCTCAAGGGTCTGAGGCAGGAGGACTGTGAGCGCAAAGCCAGCCTCAGCAACTTAGTGAGGCTCTCAGCAACTCAGGGAGATCCTGTCTCTAAATAAAATATAAAAAGGGCTGGGGATGGGCTCCGTGGTGGAGCGCCCCTGGGTTCAATCCCTGGTTACCTGCCCCCCACACAAAAAAAATAAAAATAAAAAAAGAACATAATACACTTAGAAGTTGCAACAGATATAAACTATAAGAGTAAAAAACCGATACACTCCTGGCTTATTGGTTCTGCAGGGGCATAAACATCTGATTAATCAACCTACTGCTCCAGGAATGGGAGCATCAAGTTCTGGAATCTTATGACCCACTCTCTCTCTCAGCTGTAGGATACTCTCCAAGAAGTTTCAGGGAAGAATGTTTCATTTTATGCTGGGGTCTTTCCATTTAGAAGATGAATACAGAGATGCTATGGTTTAAAACTGCTAACAGACCTCAGTGACTGAAGTTAGCACCAGGGCTCGGAAGATTTACCTCCCTTCCTCTGTTTCCAGAAGGCTTGAGAAACCCAGAGAGCTCTGAGGTGTGTATCTCAATGTCCAGAGCTCAAGTCAGGAGAACTGCTTCCCCTTTCTTTTTTGTTTCAGGGATTCATCTATCCTTTTTCTTCTAAGAACCCCTCTTCCCACATAATCACCAAAGCCCCCTCCACAGTGAAGCAAGGCTTGCTATAACTCTGTAAGGACACATGAATGTTCCCTGCATGTGGTGACCCAAAGGGAACAAGACAAAGGGAAACTGTCCTGTGGAGATGATGCTGCTACCGTTCAGCACGTCCCTTCTTGGTGAACTATGAAGCAATGGGAAATCAAAGGCTCAGCACAGGGAAGAAAATAAGGCAGTGTGTACATCTGTCCTGTTTCATCCTCAAGAGAGCACGGAAACAGGCCTACGTAGAGGCAAACACAATTATGAATGCATGGCCTGTGATCCAATATTGAAACCTCTAAGTATGTCTGACAAGTCTAAGAATTAATAAGACTTCTCAGAACGAGTCCCCGTCTTCTAACCAGTTACTACCACACACACACACACACACACACACACACACACACACAGTTTCAGAGCCCTGGGACATCCGACTCTGTACAATCGAAGTCCTACCTCATTCCCTTCCACTCTCTCTATTGGACCACCTGAGATTACCCCTCAAGGCCCCCGGCTCACTGATGCTTGGTTTCAAATCTCAGGCTGATGTTTAGTGGTCTCATTTCACCTTTGGTTGATTATCTTACTTTCTAATCAGAACTTGTTAAAGAAAGAATTACTTGGGTTTTATTTTCTTATCTCTTTACTTCTTTCCTGTTAGACTGTGGTTATGGTTCTTCAAATACCATCTGGATACTATTATGGTTTGCATCTTCGCTGTCCCCCAAGGCCCACATGCTAAAAGGCTGTCCCCCGAGCCTGGGCCATCAGGAGGTGGTGGAATCTTAGGAGGAGGAGCCTCATGGGGAAAAATTAGGTCACTGGGAGCATTCTGGGTCCACAGTCCCTTCTCTCTCTCTTTGCTTCCTGGCTGGGATGAGACAAACAGCTTCCCTTTGCCATGAATTTCCACCACAATGTACTGCCTTACAGAAGCCCAAAAGCCACAGAGCCAAGCAACCATGGACTGAAACCTCTGAAACCATGAAATAAACCATCAAAATCAATGTTTTCTCTTTCCTTTTTTTTTTTAAACCTCAGGCACTATGTCACAGCAACAGAAAGCTCACTAACACAGTTACGTTTACAAGTATGGTATGTGAAAATATGCAATTGTATAAAAGAAATGGAGAGGGTATATGTAAAGAGAAAGTCATAGAACACAGGAACGATGCCCAAAAGCTTATTCCTTCATAATAAACACACTTAAGGCTTCTTTAAATGCAACATTCCAAAATGAGTTGCAGCAGTAAATATCCCACCATATAGGCCACATGTCATATGAATGCACTGTGAGGGGGCCAGGGACATGACAGATTTTGCAGTTCCTACCAGAATGGAATTCAGTCTTATGCACAGTTTCATTTCATTTCTCCACTAACACCTGCATTTTTAGAGAAAGAAATGATTTCTGGATGCTCAGTAAATTTGCCCGTGATCAAAAGCTGGTAAGTGGCATGGAAGATTCATTCAGACCAGGTCTAATCACAGTCTGGCGCCAGCCGGGTCCTTCCCTCAACGTGGCAACAAATGGTCACTCTGACTCACACTATTCATTGTCTCCCCATGTCTCATAAACACCAAAATAGATCAAAATTGTCATTTATAAGTAAAATTATTTTAAAAATCAAAGACAGCTAACTCTTATCACTGTCTCAGGATTTATATGAACAAAGTTACATTCTTGAGGATATGGAGTAGCTTCATCCTCAGTCAGAGACAAGATCCTTCAGATACTTCACTTGCAGAAATCTAGAACAGGAAAACCTAGCGAGATCACGACGGTGGCCTCCAGTGTGTGGAGATTCAGAAAGTCCTAGAAAACTCTTTGGGCAGAGTGCTCCCTAGTAACAAGCTTGACCTGCTCCTCCTCGGCCAAGCCCCAGGCTGCTTCTAAGTGTGAGGCGCGGGAGGGGAAGGGCTGTTTCATCTCAAACCCACCTGAACTCGGCCGTGGCCGTGAAGGCCTCGCGTTCGGTGATGGAGAACACCAGCAGAAACCCTTCCCCACTGCGGAAGTAGTTGTCACGGATGGCTGCGTAGTCCTCCTGCCCAGCAGTGTCCAGGATGTCGATCTGCACCTCCTCCCCATCCAGGACCACCTTCTTCCTGTAACTGTCAGCCTTGGTGGGCTCATAGTCTTCCACAAACTGGGGAGACACACAGCATTATCAGCAATTAGCAAGACGTTAAGGAGAAGAAAAGCTGCTCCCAAATAAAATTTGATATCTAAGTACTTTGCTTATAATCACTTAAGTACTCAGTGGGTGCCTGTAATTATCACACCACATAAAAGGCAACATAAAATAAAATAACGCATTATATAAAACCTCACTTCTTTTTAGCTACGTTCAACCATTTTTTATTTTGACTGGAAACAACAGGGGCAAATGTTCCCATCTTACAGATGAGAAAACCAAACACAAGCAGAACACTCGGCACTACTGTCAGTACAGTATAAAATTATGATAGAACACTAAAAAATGTGAGAAATGGGAGTTCTTATTCTAATTAACAGAAATTTTAAACTCACCTGAAAAGTAATTTGGCAAGAGGCTTACAATATGATAAAGCTCCAAATGGGTCAGAGATTAAATGTTAACAAGAAAACCATTCAAGTACTAGAATAAAAAAAATGGGTGAAATCCTTTTATTACCTTGAAGTAGAGAAGGCCTTCTTAACTAAGACTCAAAATCCAGAAGTGATGTTAGAAAAAATTGATAAATTAGACTACATGAAAAAGTAGGGCTGGGGTTGTGGGTCAGTGGAAGAACATTGGCCTAGCACATGTGAGGCACTGGGTTCAATCCTCAGCACCATATAAAAATAAATATTAAATAAATAAAGGTATTGTGTCCATCTACAACTAAAAAAATTTTAAAAAGAAAAGAAAAAAATTGTTAAAAAAAAAAAGTTTTAGCAGAGCTAGCGCAACATACCACAAACATAGGCAAATGACATACAGGGAAAAAATATCTGAATCCATAGTACAAGAGCTAATGTCTTTAATATATAAAGAGTTCCCAGAAACAGAGGAAGAATATCGACAGTTCATTAGGGGAAAGTGGGCAATGGACATAAACAATTCACTAAAAAATAGATACCCGGTGCTAAACACATAAAAAGATGTTCATCCCCACTAGTTTTTAAAAAAGTGAAAATTAAAACTACATTGAGACCTCATTTTTCACCAACCAGTTGGCAAAATTCCAAAAGTCTGACAACATACTCTAGGGGAAAGGACTCTCGTACATTGCGAGCAGAAATGGGAAACAGGACAATTCCCCTGGGGAAAAATTTGTCAACAGCTGATAAAATAAGAAAAATTCCTTACCCCGTCCCAGCTATCCTGCTTCTAGGAATCTAAGCTCCAGAAAGCCTGCACAAGAATATACCAAGTAATTCACTGTGGCACTGAGTGTGACTGCAGAAGATTAAGAACTTCCCAAATGCCCAGCGACAGGATTTCACATGAGATACTGTGCAGCCAGGCACCAGAGCTCCAAGGAAACAGGGAGAGCAACTTGATGTATGTAGGCATTTGCCAAAAAGGCACCTTGAAAGGACAGACAGAATTGAAAGCTGTTAAACAGAAAAACCAAAGCGAATGAGCCTACCTGAATATTCATTTGCTAGTGAAGACACCCAGAAAAAGAACTTAATTAATTTATGAGACTTTAGAAGAGTATCGTGAAAAATTGCATCCCATTAAAAAAAAAAACCTAAGGAGGGCCGGGGCTGTGGCTCAGAGGTAGAGCGCTTGCCTTCTATGTGTGAGGCACTAGGTTCAATTCTCAGCATCTCACAAAAATAGATGAATAAAATAAAGGTCCATCAATATCTATATATTTAAAAAAAAACTAAGGACAAAAAAGTCAAAGAAATATGAAACTTCCTCTCAGTAGTTGTATTGTTTAGTATAATGATATTATTCCAAAGCTATCTTCTTTATATTGGTGTGTATAAAATAAGTAATCTTAATGATTCTAAAAATCAAGAAATAAACTAAGTTAAGGACAATGTATTTTTAAAAATTAAATGATGCTGGTACAGCTGGATCCCCTACTTCATACCACATACCAAAATTAAAATAGATCAAAAAATTAAAATTATAAACTCTTAGAAGAAAACACAGGTGTACATCTTCATGACCTAGTATCTGGCAATGTATTCTTCAATATGATACCAAACAAACAAGCAACAACAACAACAACAAAAAAGACAGGTAAACCGGACTTCACTGAAATTAAAATTTTTCAGACTTCAAAGGACACCGTCAAGACGGTGAGAGACAACCCAGAGAAAGAGAGATACTTGTAAATCACATGTCTATTAAGGGGATTATTTCTAGAATACATAAAGAACTCTGGAAATCCAATCATAAAAAGAGAGACAACCCAATTAAAAACAGGAAAAGGGGGGAGGTTGTGGCTGTGGCTCAGTGGTAGAGCACTCGCCTGGCACATGTGAGGCACTGGGTTTGATCCTCAGCACCACATATGAATAAATAAAGGTATCCTACAATTAAAAAAAAAGTCTGAAAAAAAAAAACAGGCAATATGATGATGTAGTTCAATGGTAGAACACAATGGTGGAGGCCCTGGGCTCAATCTTCAGGACGAAAAAAAGGGGAAGAGAGCGCAAAGAATCTAAATACACAATTTTCCAAAGAAGATAAACAAAGAGCAATAAGCACATGAAAAGATGCTCAGCATCACTCACCATCAGGGAAACATAAGTCAAACCACAATTAGATACCACTTCAAACCACAGGATGGCTGTAATACGCAGACAGACAACAAGCTGGGCGTGGTAGCACATGCTTGAAATCCAAGCTACATGGGAGGCTGAGGCAGGAGGATCACAAGTTTCAGGCCAATCTCAACAACTCAGTGAGACCCTAAGCAACTTGGCAAGACTATCTCAAAAAATACAAAGGTTTGGGGCTATAGCTCATTGGTAAAGTACCCCTGCGTTCAATCCCCAGTACCAAAAAAAAAGAAGGGTGGGGGACAATAACAATTGTCAAGAATATGGAGAAACTGGAACCCTCAAATATTGCTGGTAAGAGTGGAAAATGGTGTAGGTACTATGGAAAACAGATTGGCAGTTCATCAAACAATTATAATAGAGTAATCACATGCCTCTGCAATTACTTGCCCAGGTATACACTCAAAGGAATTTAAGATGTTTTCATCTTGAACACCCATGTCCATAGCAACTTACTCATAAGAGTCAAAAAGCAGTAACAACCAAATGTCCCTCAATTGTTGGAAAAACAAAATGTGGCCTATCCAAACAATGAAATATTATTCAGTCATAAAGGTAATGAAGTAGACTGGTACCTGTAATCCCAGTAACTTGGGAGGCTGAGGCAGGAGGATTGCAAATTCAAAACCAGCCTCAGCAACTTAGTGAGACCCTGTCTCTAAATAAAATACAAAAAAGGGCTGGGGATATGGCTCAGTGGTTGAGTGCCCCTGAGTTCAATCCCCAATACCAAAAAAAAAAAAAAAAGTAATGAAGTGTCAATTCATGCTACAACTTGGATGAACCTTGTTGAATTCTACTAAGTCAAAAAAGGCCAACACAGAAGACGGCATATTGTATGAGCCTGTTTATGTGAACTATGCAGAACAGACAATTCTTTGGAGATAGAAAGTAGATTAGACAGTAGATAGTAAGTAGGTACCCAGGCTGGAGGGATAAGGAATAAGAAATGACTCCTAATGTATGTGGGGTGAGGAAAATCTTCTGGAATGAGATACTGGTGATGGTTGTACAACTCTGTGAATATTCTAGATATCACTAAATTCTACACTTTAAAGGAGGAAGTTTTTTTTTTTTTTTCCTGTGGGGTAGTGGGGAGGGTTCCGGGGATTGCAGGGGCACTCAACCACTGAACCACATCCCCAGCCCTTTTTTGTATTTTATTTAGAGACAAGGTCTCACTGAGTTGCTTAGCACCTCGGTGTGCTGAGGCTGGCTTTGAACCTCAATCCTCCTGTCTCAGCCTCCCCATCCACTGGGATTACATGCATGCACCACTATGCCCAGCTAAAAGAGGAAGTTTTATGTGAATCTTATCACAATTTTTTTAAAAAAAGGAATAAGTACTGTTACATGCTACCACAGGGATGAACTTGCAAAACATGATGCTAGGAGAAAGTCATGAAGGCGATATTGTGTTACTCCATTTAGGTAAATCCACACAAACAGAAAGTGGTTGTGAGAGGCCACGGGCAGGAGAGGAGGAAGTAGTAATGGGTGTGACTGCTAATACACAGGGCTTTTTTCTTGAGTGATGAAACTTAGACAATGGTGAATGTTACACATCTGCGTATACATACAAAAGAAGTGAATTATACTTTTTAACAGACTGCTTTTCATGCTATGTGAATTATACTCAAAGTTGTAAGAAAAATTTATAATCTAAAAACTGAATTGCAAATATCAACAGAATTTAAGGTTCCTTCAAAGAACACTCCTAAAAATACCTTATATTATTAATTAATGGCTGCCAGTTCAAATTATTTTAAATCTAAAAATAAAAATCCTAAAATAGTGGGCTAGGGATATAGCTCAGTGGTAGAGTGCTTGCCTAGCATGTGCAAGACCCTGGGTTCAATCCCCAGTACAAAAAAAAAAAAATCCTAAAATATTTTAATCCTGGGTTCTCTTAACTTCATACTAGTAATTATAATGTGAAAACTTGCCTATGCTTTGCAACAGTATCTGTCCTTTTAACTTTCCAAAGAGACAAATACATGATCCAAAAAAGACAGAAGCACTACTCCTCCATCACTCAGAATCTCTGCATACCACCATAAACATCTCAACTGGGCATTTCTGAGCTTCTAAGAAGAAAGCCGCCACAGTTTCACTGATCCTTTGACACCAGAAGTCTGAATTTCAGACATACCCGCATAGCTCTGCACTGAGTAAAGCCTGGTATTATTAGAACATTCTATCGCAACCCTGATGTTTACATTTTTCAGGTAGAATCAGAAAATCACCAAAGACTCTGTTAATATGAACCATACTCATCCTCTACTGGCCTGCAGAGCTTCATGTGGTTCAGTTTCAGATGCCCAAGACGCATAGGTCCAAGGCACATTCACACACACCCCTTCTCCCCCCACCCCCTTA